ACCTCCATCACCCATACCCAATACCCACTCCTCTTCCCTTCCTATCCCATCCGAAGGGTCAGAGCGTGTGTCTGGGCGAGACACAAGTGAGCGGGCCTCCCCGTGGTCCCCGTGGGCGTGGGGCGCGCGCTGCAGCCACAACCGGCAGGCGGCGCGCGCGTCACGGCTGAACCGCTCACTCTGCGAACACGTCCCGCAGGCGCTGCTGGATTTTTCCATCGCCCTTCCCCTGTCAGTGGTTGACAAACGCTAGAAGGCAGATGGAAACATGTTGCGTATAGCCTTCATGGCTGAGGAAGCAAAGCGCGGCATCCTACGGGTGTCGGGCTTCACAATAACTGATCATTAGAGACGTTGAGACTGAATAAAGTGTTTTGTACGTTAGTTGAGATTTTTGACAGTTTATAAATAAAGTTGACAGTTTATAAATAAAGAACGAGTATTAACTACAAATAGTGGAGTTGACCTTATGAACACACACAGTGGCATACGCCATAGCAGCGCGCGCCGCGCGACATCTGTCACGGACCTACCGTGGCGCAAATTATGCTTTCCCAAGAGGTGAAGGGGTTGACGTCCCTCTTGCTCCTGTGCTCTTGCGCCCTCCTTGGGACACCTACGCATAATTCCTCTATAACAAGGCTACTCACGATAATTAACGAAAGTTATAAAAATGATTTGTATAATGTTATCATAAGCATCAATAAGCTCATCGTATAAGATGCTTAACGTCAGCGTTTGCGCCTGATGTTGTATCGTCCCTAAATACTTTCTATATTCGATCTATAATAGGCAAACTACTTATCTTTATAACTCAAAAGCTAAATTTTGAATAACATTTTACAAGAGGGAAAGTCGTCTTAGAATTTGTTCAAGAATATGTAATTTCATGTTAGAAAGTTGTTCCAGATCACTCTGTATAAAAAATATAATAAACAAAAAATCTATATTTCAAAGTGACGAAAGTGAATAATCTTTTAAATAGTAAGATTGATCAATATAATTTCAGTTAGTATATGCAACAATAAACAAGTCAACAAAGAAAATATTAAAAGTTTTTGAAGTTCGTTACACTGTATTTAATTATTGTATAAAATATAGTTGCGACAATCTTTGTCGTCAATTAGATCTATTCCTAGAAATTAAACCAATTAATATATTGTCACATCTTGATCTTAGCAAAAAGAATCACGAAGAATTTGTCATTATCTCTAAGCGCTACCATAAACTTGTTATAAATCTATTAATAAAATATTAATCATTAGACTTAAAAAAATATATATGATGAAGGTATTAAAATATTCAATGTTAATTAACAATTATATAAAATTCACTTTATTTCAAAGTGATTTTAATACTTCAAAATTCTTTAATTTAAAAGCACTTAATTTTTAATAATTTAGTGATTTTTATAAACATATTAGATATATTATTATAAAGTATATAACTATTATAATTAATAATTAAAAAAGAATAATGAATATTTTAAAAATTAATGAAAAATTATATTTTACATTATCCTCGTTGTTAAATGCCATATGACATGATAAAAACGTGAGATAATTACTAACTATATTGTAACATAATGGCATATATACGAAAAGAGAAACAATATGTGTAGATTGTTAAATAACTATTAAAAATTATCAGAGCTTTCTAATGGTATCACACAGATTAAACTTATAATTTAAGATTATGCTTGACAATATTATATTAGTTACTTAATATTTTTTTATCAGTGGATGAATCGCTCTTGCTCTCACACACATATACACACACATATCACACCATACAACATATACACGTACACTAAAGAGTTATGAGAATATTTCTGAAAAACATAAATCACTATATTACTTGTAGTATAAAGTTACGTATATATATAAAAATTATTTCCCAGAATTAGTATGCAATATATATAAGCAGCAAGTTAGCCTATAACAGTTGCAGTCTTATAAATATATTGTACATATTTAGCATACTAATTACGTACATTATAAATAACTATTTATATCATTAAAAAGTAAGGAACTTACAAGGATGTAATATATAATAAACTATATCTATAATATATAATAAATTATCTAATTGTGTATGTTAAAGATTATTTTAACAAGTAATGACTTATGTTTTTACAAGAATAACCATAGAAATAATTTTTTATGGTTTCTGATTTTATTTCACATGCGGAAATAAGTGCGTTGAAATGTTTCTTTTATGTTAATTACATTAAACCCACTATCTCAAAATTTTAATAATTTTGAATTTCAATTATCCTTATATATATACATACATATATACATACATACAAGTAGATATGTACTATTTGCGTAATAAAGTATCAAGTTACTTGTATAAGTAAATACTTAAAGGATAAAATTTAAATAAGAAATTTTATGTTCGGTTGATATTATTGTTATACATAATAGTATTTAGTGTAATATTCATACAAACATGTATAATATATCTATAATTACATATATAATACGTCTATGCACGCTGTAATTTATGCTGTAATATTACGCAACGAGACGGGAAAATATGATTTCAAATTATATAACGCATAAGTTTTTTCAACATCTGAATCCATGCGGCACTAGCTATGCTTGGTTAGATCGTCTGCTTCGACGTGAAGAACTCGAAAATAATGGGCGTGGTTTATACAAGTCATCGCTCGAATATCGTTGGCTGCTCCTATTTCGGCTGCAATTTTAAGATATATTTAAAATATTAGACTGTGCTCAAATTAATTTTTTTTTACGTTATTTATTACACATCATATAGCAATGCTCGAAATTAGATGTATATTTCGGGCAGATTTCTGAAGCAACGCCTACTATCGGTGTCATTACGATATAGTACGCTAATATACTCCAGCGTAGGACGCAACATTTAGAAGAGTGCAAATGTTTTAATATGCGCACAATAATTTTTAAGTGTCCAAAAACATGAAAATTGACTTCGGTCTGCAAGGACCCGCTCCTACCCGATTCGATGTCGTCTATTTGTAGGCCAGTATTCGTAATCAAATATTATATTTAAGACCGTCTTAAATTCGTCTTTAGATGCTTTGTAGCTAATAAAATGATGCATATAATATCTGAAATAAAATCAAGACGAGATCTTAAATATAAGATCTAACTGTGAATATCAATAGGACCAAAGATTTTCAGATATAAAACAGAACATCTTGCAATCTCCAATTAATATTTTAAATAAATCAGCTCAAAATGACTTGGAAATATTTCCCAGTTTAACAATAGCATTGTTTTCGGATACTATTAACTATGCCAATATCTGTAGCAACTGGTGAGGCAAGTTTTTCAAAATTAAAATTAATAAAAAAATATCTCTGAGAGAGAGAGAGAGAGAGAGAGAGAGAGAGAGAGAGAGAGAGAGAGAGAGAGCAGAGAGAGCAGAGAGAGAGAGAGAGAGAGAGCAGAGAGAGAGAGAGAGAGAGAGAGTAATGACGTTAACGCGATTATCTGATTTAGCAATCGAGAAGGAAGTGACCAACAATCTTGATTACAAGGATGTTATTAAGAGATACGGTAGTGTCTCGCGCCAAGTGCACGCATAAGCGAAACGACGTGCACGGGCGGCGAGACGGGCCGTGTATATTTACGCGAAGCATCTCGTTGATCGGAGGCATGATTTATCGTTTTACTATAACGGCTAAATTGACGAGGTTCTGGATGAGCTTAATCGATTCCTTATATTATCAATTATATTATTATAAAACTCTTTATGTTTGTCTTACATGCCTTACAAGATATTTTAGTTTAAAGTCAGAAATCAGAAAAAGACATCTCAAAATTCGTCGACGCTAGGATGTACGGTTGCGGATCGGAAACTAGATGGCGTCTTTGGCCTTGTATCATGTACCGATGTAAACTTAGCGTCTAACTTAAAAAATACAAAAACGTTTATACTATATGTTTGTACCTCGTTTGTACCACATTTTGATTCGTTTGTATCTAAAGGGTTAAAAAGTTACGGAGGTGCAAAAAAATCGCCAGCGCCCAACATTAAGATATTTAAAAACGACCGACGCCATTCGAAAGAGCATCGTTTGTATCTATTTGTACCTCTTTCGTTTTCGTTTGTACCCCTCAAAGGGTTCGGAAATACAAACTTTTCAAAATACGCTCAAGATGTACTTCCCCCATTTTTCAAGCTATTTGAAAACGGCCAACGCTATTCGATAGAGCATCGTTTGTACCCGTTTGTACTTCTTTTACTTCTTTTCAAATCATTTAGCTTCTTGTATTTCTTTTCAAATCATTTAGCTCGAAAAGATAGCTTAAAAAATAGGAAATAGGAGGAAGCAGCTCTTAAGCATATTTTGAATAGCCTGTACTTCCGGTTCCTTTGAGGTACAAACGATTTGAAAGAAAGTACAAACGGTTATACAAACAATGCTCTTTCGAATGGCGTTGGCCGTTTTTAATATCTTAATGTTGGGCGCTGGCGATTTTTTGCACCTCCATAACTTTTTAATCCTTTAGGTACAAACGAAATAAAATGTGGTACAAACGGATACAAACGAGGTACAAACCTATAGTATAAACATTTTATTTTTTTTAAATTGGGCGCTAAGTTCACATCGGTGTGTCATATGACCCATAATAAGCATGCTATTAGGTGGTAAACTTAGTTCCTGCGGCTCACAGTTAGATGATGTTAGTTGTAGGTGTAATTTATTTTGACATCTGAAACTGGCTGCATTTTAGAGGTTAGACATTTGTCAATAAAATTCAGTGCGAAGAGATTCATTTAAGCGAGCAGTGCTGTTTTTTCTTTTGATAAAATATGAAACGTGATAAGTTGTTTTTTCGACATGTGCTGCTTCATTACTTTGACTTGAAAAAAACTGC